TCACATCACCTAAGTTAGCACTACAGTCATCTCGGGTTTCTGACAGCCAGCAGACAGTGATAAACAGTTCCAGAGTTTCATTGAATCCACCAAAGATGTGGGCTCTTTCTAGAAGTACCTATCTCTTTCCAAAGTTTACTGTTGGTGCTTTGTCAGTGATATTCCTATAATAATTTTCCGTTAGAGCTCTTAGTGCTCTAGGTTTTAATGTCCCTGACCAGCCTCACATTGGACACCCCACTCCCTGCTCACAGGCTCAGTATCCCACTTCAGCTTAGGTTTAGAACCCTAATCCTCTGCTGAGGTGTGTTGTGGGTGTGTGTGTCTTCCATCCTGTGTCCTATTGCCCTAATTTACTGATTGATCTTCCTGGACTTACCTTATGGGTAACTCGGTATCCAGTACTCTCTCTGTCCCTGTCTCACAGATGAACCTCAGAATTATATTGCAGGTGGCCTTGTCTCTAGTCACACCCCTGGCCCTGTATCCAGCTGTTCCAGACTAGTCACCCTGAGGACATCCTGAGCATGGCTGCTTACCATGTTTGTCTGGCACTGTGGATAGCCCCTGCCGCTGTCACCAGTGCTGGCCTGCTCAGATACTGCAGATCTGCACTGGTCTTTGAGGGCACTGTGCAGGCTGTGCTGGGGCTACCTGTGGCTCTCAGCTCATCCTTCTTTAGAGAGCAGCCCCACTCCCTCTGCTCCTTGAAACTTAAGTTCAGTGAGATGACACTGAACTGAGTCAAAACTGTATATAAAAACAAATCAAACAAAAAACCCACCCCCAAACAACAACAACAAAAACAAATTAAAAAAACCCCAAACCCCTCCCCCCCTCCAGAAAAGAATGAATAACCCCCCCCCCCCCAAAAAAAATAAATTATTATGGAAATATAAAGAGCAATACTTGGTGTTTGCCTGTATTTGAAGTTCAGTGCTTCTAACATTCAACAGCATCTTAATACTCACAACTCTGTATTTCAGGCAAACAGATTTTAGCCAGTTCAGGGTTCTGCTTGGAAGAACCACACTTACTCCATGAGACTTATTTATTTAACAGTAATATCTACCAAGAGTATTTAGATCTAATTATTGGTTTCATAAGCTTGTCCTCCAGAGATGCAGAATATAGTCCTTTTTCTGCTGCCTTTTCTGTTTAGTTTATAGGCATCCACGTCTGAGAATGTATATGGAGTAGAATATAGTACAATCTTGATAGGGCTTTCAGATTATATCCCAAACTAGCCGTAAGACAGTACAAAGCTGTTTAGAAAACTATAATAAACTAAAGAAAATAAAGATGATGGAGACTAGGTTGATATGGGTTACAGTTAACTAACCTGGGTTGAACATTAGCAGAAGAGAGTAATTAAGAAGTCTGTAAAGTGAGAAATTGTGTAAACTCAGTTCAAATCAGAATCAAAATAAAAGTGGAAGCAAATTTTACCAAAAGTTTGAATATTAAAAGAAAGATATTTATCTAGAAGAGAGGGAAGTCAGGAAAGAAATTTGAAGTAGTACAAAATGCACAGAGCTAAAGAAACATTTTTTTGTAATAACTGTTATATAGTATGCTATTGTTAAAACCACATAAATCTAGAATCTCCAGTCTTTACTGGAGGTTCTGTATCATTTTTATATGAAAGTTACAATATGGTTAAAAACACCCTTTTTTTTGAAAGATTTTCCTCTTCTCCCATCTTTCTCTTCATCTTCCCCTTTTCTCCTTTCTTTCACATTATCTTTTTCCCTTCTGTGCCCCGTGCCAGTATGATAGTTTGGTGCAGTTTTCTATTTCTGTTTTATATTTATTGGTTATCAGTGTGGAAAGCATTTTTTAATACTTATGAATTTCAGTGTTTGATTAACAAAAAAAAAAAGGCAGTTCAATTAACTTGATTTCCATTTTGTATAGTTAATAATGTTGTGAAAGCCTTGAGGCTTGGTCAGAAAAAAAAAAAAGAAAAAAAAATCAAGCCCCCCCCCCCCCCCTTTTCAGCTTCAGAATATATTTTCCCAGAGCAATTTTTTTTTTTTTTGTCACTTTACAGGGTACATTCAAATTAGTGTTTGCAAGCTGTTTTTAATAGAGCTGTTTAGAAGTGTCAGAGCATACTAAAAATACTGTTAAATTGAGACTGCAAAGACTGCAAAGTTATGCAAGCAAACTCAGAGAAAGGATGTCTGAATTATTCAAAAAGAGAAAAGCTAGAGGGAAAGTTAATTTGTATCATAACCAGGTCACTGTGCTAATCATGATTTCAATCCCATGAAACTCTACCTCTTGCTTTATTGGCCTGGTAATTGTTTCTGTTCATGCCATAGATAGAACAATAATGCCTATCTAGAAATGTGATCAGTTGAGAAGTGATACTAACTACTTGCTGTCCACACAATTAAATAATTCAATGTAATTTCAGATACTCTAGTTTCCAGAATGGTTTGGTCAGAGGTAAGACAGTATTAACTGCTCTGCAAAATCAGAGGAAGAGAAGGAAATTTTCCACTTTGGAGCCATACTAGCCAGATATGCTTTAATGCTCTTTAATGTGTCTTAAACAAAAAAGCCCACTGTTCAACTGTCAAATATGTTACTTTTGGTCTAAAAGTAATGGTATATTTTTTTTATAAAAGCTCTCTGGCTTTTTACACATTACACAAGGATGCAGCAAATTAGACATGCATACCTGGTGTAATTTGCAAGTGTTAACAGAAAAGCTGAAGGCTGCTGAGTGCTAGAATTACACAGTACACTATACTAGGGAACATCTATCAGTCTCAAGGTGCATATTTTATTTTATGTAGGTAATTTTAGTGCACTGTTCTTGTATTTGCCATTGTGAAAGTTTTTGATAGGACAAGTAACACCACTACTGTATTTATTTTCATTGCTGACTACAAGTGCAAAGCATGATTACATGGAAGTACAATGGTACAAATAATAATGATCATTCAATTTGAAAAACACCGTTCTCACCAAGCTCTTCAGCACTATATAAATAGTTATACAATGCATTATATATCACTTTTAACAAAGATGACACTTTGTGTCTGATGCAATATGCTCTATAATTACATGGCGTTCCATCTATATCCGATGTCTAGTTTCATAAAAAAGAAATTCTGGAGATCAGCAGTGCCTGCATCCACACTGTTCCTAAAATATCCTTTTAAAGACAGAAAAATGCCATATTATTTGGTAATTAGGACAATTATTTTAGAATAATAGCTTACATTTTGGCACGAGTTGTGCAGGTGAACTGCTCTGAGACTCATCAGTGAACAAACACTGCCTTTCTGTGTTTATATCATCATCTTCTTCCCTCTGATGGGGAAGATAAGATGTCAGTTTATCCCAGACACATCCTAGACAAATTCTGAGCATAACGAATTACAATTAAATCTTTCCTTATCCTGCTTTAAACATTAGGCTATACGTTTTGCTCTTATTCTTCAGAAAATCTAGTTAGAAACCTCATCTTAAAATAAATTTATGTGCATATAATGACAATAACTCAATTATCATGTGTAATGTTTTTTATGTGATAAAAAAAATCCTGAGGCAGGCATTGCAAACCAGAAGCAACATCTATTTCAGCAAGCTCTGCTCATGAGCATATACTGCTGGCACCACTGACCTTCCCATGGATTTTTCTTTCACTCTATTTTTCCTCTTGGTTTTTTTTTTTTTTTTTGTTCATATATTTCAACTGCTTGCTTGGGGTTTCTCTGTGTGTATGCATTAAGCTAATAAGAAATTTTTGCATATAGTAGTCAAAATAAGTCTCAGAGGTCATGATGAACAGCCACCAAGAATGTTTCAATAAAGTGATTTTGTCCTCAGAAAATACCGTTTTCCTCCAATTAAGCCTTTTTGCTATGATGAACTGGGTTTCAATGACATGCTTTTATAAAGCTTTCACAGGTCTTGGGTAGAATATCTGGCAAGGAAGAGTGAACAGGTGAGACCCCAGAACAATAAGTGACAGGGTAGGAAGGATATTTTTAACTGAGATGTAGATCTGGATTAAATTCCTTCTATGAGGGATTTAATACTTTCATACTTTCATACATACATAATGTGCCCTATTAATTTAGTTATTCAGAGGCCAGAGTTACAGTGTCATGTACCATGTAATGTTTCATTACCATTTTCCTAAAATTCCACTCTAGTGAATCAGAAAAATTATTTCCTGCTCAGTTCTCCCTGTGAGAAATTAAGGTAAATTTTCTTATAGGATTGATAGTGGCAGTAGACCATATTCTGATGATTTTATACATATATTAAGATATATATGAACTTTAAAATTAAATCTGACTAAATTAAACTTCTGCCAAGGAACTGATCGTGCAGCTTTTTCTTGCAAATCAAATGTTTGTCAATGCCTCAAAAAAGAACAAGAGAAAGAAAGTCCATTGTATTACACTGGAAGTACTAGATGAACTCCAGAATTAAAGCTCTGTGTTCCTGAAACCCAGTGACTTGTGTGAGATACGTTATTTTTATAAAGTGAAGTATGTTTAATCAAAATAAATTTGTTTTGGTTTCAGGTAGCTGCATTACACTCCGTCAATGCAATAAGGTCACTGCTTAACTTAATTTTACACACATATGCTGTTTCCTTTCTAATGTCTGGTTGTACTAGTAAGTGCAAATAACACTGATGGATGATAGACACAAACTTTCCAAATGGCCCAAGCAGTAAAGTTCAGTTGTGAACTGGTCCTTTAAAGAGCAACTTTATGTTTAAATCTCAGACTAGTAGCAAGATGTCCTGGGTTCAGCAGTAGCAATCATTTTTCTCCTTCTTATTAGCTGGTGCAGTGCTGTGTTTTTGAACTTCAGCCTGGGAACAGCACTGATAACACTGATGTTTCTAATTGCTGCTCAGTAATGTTTACTCTGACCAAGGACTTTCTCAGTCTCATGCTCTGCCAGGGAGGAGGGGAAGCCAGGAGGAAGCAGAAACATGACACTGACCCAAACTAACCAAAGAGGTATTCCATACCACAGCACGTTATGCCCAGTATATAAACTGGAGGCAGTTACCTGGAAGGGTGAGATCACTGCTCAGGTCTGGCTGGGTACCGGTCAGCAGGTGGTGAGCGGTTGTATTCTCTTCCCTTGTTATTTCCCTTATCATGATCATTGGTGGTAGCAGTAGTGGTTTGTGTTATAACTTAGTTACTGGAGTCTTCTTATCTCAGCTTGTGGGAGTTGCGTTTTTTTTATTCTCCTCACCATCCCTCCGGGAGCAGGGGGAGGAAGTGGGGAGGAGTGAGTGAGAGGCTGTGTGGTTCTGAGTAACCAGCTAGGTTTAAACTACAACACAAGATTTACCAAAATCCCTACCCAAAATAACAACCAAATAACCAAACTCACACCACCACACCTAACCAAAAAAAACTCACCTTGAATAATAACCGCAGGATAAAACCTGTGAAAGTGAAGAATCTGCCTGAATTTCTGAAACTTTTTAATCTGCTAAGTAGAAGATACAGTTCACTGTCCATGGAATCAGTGCACTGGAAATGGAAGGCACTGAGGTATCTTAGTTCAGTACAAGCATGTCATCTTCACATTGATTTCATTAAAGTTAATACAAATATTTTTTTAAAGGGTATTTCCTTTGTTTGGGTCTTTTCTGTCACTGCACTTGCAAAACAACTAATGTGCAAAAAAAAAAAAAAGTTGGAAATACTAATTTTTAACCTATCTTTCTAGATTTTCTTCTTCAATTATGGAAGAAATCTGATTTTCTTTTACACAAATTTTAGCTGGCGATGCTATGGAATGTAAGAATTTTTTATTTGACTACAAGAACAATATATTGTCTAATACTCAAATTCATGAAGAGCTGATAGTTAATTTCCTGAATCTATTAATCCCTGCTGCACAGGCACTCAGCATGGAATAAAGGAATAGTATTGAACAGGATTCAAGTTAAGACTTTTGTGGCAATTGGAGATACAGTTTCCAGGACCTTGAGACAGCTGAAGGGAACTGAGTACAGCTTTCTCATTTCTGGGCAAGTACTTTAATTATCACACTGCTCTTCCCTCACTTTTCCCACTCAATCTCCCCCAAAACTTGAGAATGCTCTTTAAACAGATTTATTTTACTGTAAAAGGTGTTCATCACACCTATGTAAGGTGTTGACATGGTGAAATAAACTCCCTTTAGGGAGCTTGTGTGTCAGAAAGGAGCTACCTGGTTACTTCTGGAAATACTGTGGAGATGGTAATCGAACAGCAGTGTTCATCATTATCATCATGTCCTTCAGGTGAATGGATTCCTCTTAGACTTCTGCCTAACTCAGAAGTTCTGAGTAAATGATTTTTTATAGTTTACACTAGAATATAGCTAACCAGGACTGCACTCTTCTATCATTCTAATTACTATCCAACTTTTAGATTCATTAATTTCTAATAATTTATAAATAGTGGTTAGAGTGAATGATCAACTGGTGATGGCTTACGGAAGAAATGTACAGTTAAGGGTAAACTTTAGAAATAAATATCCTCTAAAACTGGCTTTTCTAATATTTATCTCCTCATTGTAATGCCTTATCTTGCACCTTCATTTATCTCGATTGGATGCCTACCACTGCTGATTTTGTAATTGAAAAATATCATTATGCTAACAATATATTGAGATAAAAGATTATTACCACAGAAGAAAAAAAAGAAAAATACAAAGAGAATGTGATTTTGAATCATTTTTGCACTCTATTCAAGGTTGTACATTGGAATAGTTGGGAAAAAATTTTTTCTGTTGTTCATTTCTTTTTGAAGATTAATACAGTACTCATAAAAAATCTTAAGACTATCAGGACTAGAGATTTTTCATACCCAAATTGCCTCAGAATTTACATCTGTTCCTTTCCTAAGGAATTTACATCTGTTCCTTTCCTAGTGCATTTTTAAATCATTAATAATGACTTTTAACATATGAAATGGTAAGTACAAAGCTATCTGATACTTTAGCAACTAAGAGTTATGCTGCAAATATTGACTTGAATTATGATTAGATGAAATATTGTGGTTTGTTAAATAAAATGGTCTACTTTTAATTCACTGAAAGGATGAATGAAAATGCTGTGATATAACTTGCATGGCGTACACAGCTTCTGAATGAAGAGGACATTAATGTCCCAGGGCAGAACTTAAGTAGGATCAGGTTTTGAGCCATAAATGCAAGAAAATAAAAAAAAGGTGCCTTAAAAAAAGAAAAACTCACTGTTCTTTTATTCTCATGTAAGTAACTGAAAACCGTGTTTGTACCAATAATCTCTGACATTTTGTAAAGCAGTATGCTTTTGATTCAAGTTCACTGAAGGAAAGGAAGAATGAACTCATAAAAAGAGATTACCTTTGACTTTAGGACTAGATAATTACAGAAGAACAGAAAAACATCTATTTTTTTTTTTTTATATGCTTCACTTGTCCTCTAGTCAACAGAGCTACCTGGGAGAAAATATGGACTAAGTCCACAGAAGGACACATAAATTCATAGTCTTCATGTGGGACAAACTAGCTGCAGAAACCTAGAACTCTAATTCTAGCTCTACTTCCAAGGCATTGAGCAGAGGGGCAGCGAAGGAGTTTATGTGCATTTGGGACATACATTTTGGATTTTGGTAGATAAACAGAGACTAAGGGAGTGAAAGATTTTAATAGGTCTATCTATCACCTGAAGAATAAGTACCACGTTCCCTTCATCTGGTTAATCACTTCAAAAGGAAATAAAAGCTACAGCCCACCCAACACTGAAGAGGTTGAGAAACTATGGTCATATCCTCAGTGCTTCTTTGTTTATTTTTCTCTTCACACATATGATTGTGCAGTCTCTTGCAAAGAGCTCTTACATACAGAACAATAAATGAATCTCTTCACAGTATCTGCAGACAGACTTATGGGACTGTTTCCTCCTGCCTCTTTCACTGTTTGTGTGATTTACTGATCACACAAGATACTTTTACTTGATGTAAAGTCTGGTTATTACTGTGGAGGTTATTCAGGCTTTAATTACTCATTTCTTTCAATTCTTCTATCTTGATATTATCTTTTTCAGTAATGTTTTCATTATTTATTCCATTAGAAAAATCACTTAGTATGCCAGTCTGTAATATAGCAACTATAAATGTATTTCCTTTATTTACCCATCCACAAATGAACAATCTAATTTAATCAAAAATCAGCAACAAATTAGGAACTTTCACTGTCACCAAACAAAAGAACACAGACAGACAAGCAAAGAAAGAGCCTAAGTTTACTATTCTTTCCCAGCAGATAGGACATCTGAACTCTATTTAATATTTAATAGTTTATTCAAAGTACAACAGCAGTAAACGAGATTAAGACCATCCAGCTACATTAAATAAAGTAATAATATTAGGGTATTTTCTTCATATAGGTGTTTAAATATCTTCATGCAAAAAAAAAAAAAAAAGCGAATAACAGTCTTCCATGGAAAGGGAGTAAAGTAAGTAAATAGGATGGATAAATAATAAAGAACAAATTGGTAACATCTTCACTTCTGTTAGTACTCCAGTGCTGCCTCACTTCTTTTCAAGAGAAAACAAAACTTTATTTTTTCATGTGCTCTAAAATAATTCTTATTGTGCTGGGATATGCGTGTGTGGAAAGTTGCCTTTTAATCATAAGGTCAATCCAACACTCTTTTTTTTTAATATTTTCCTTAACTTATCTTTCGGGACTTTGAATCAAACAGGTGCATAGCTGGCTCCTTTCTCTAAATGTATCCTTTCTGATTTATAGCAGTTTGTCCACAGCTAATACAGTTTTTGAGTACACAACTTTTTCCCCTAAAAGAATAAATATTTGTCATCAATGTATTGTGTTTTAAGACCTTATTAGTGTATATAAATATATAAAGGGGGAGTGTCACGAGGATGGAGCCAGGCTCTTCTCAGTGGCAAACAATGATAGGACAAGGGGCAATGGGTACAAACTGGAACACAAAAGGTTCCACTTAAACTTGAGAAGAAACTTCTTCTCAGTGAGGGTGACAGAACACTGGAACAGGCTGCCCAGGGAGGTTGTGGAGTCTCCTTCTCTGGAGGCATTCAAAATCCGCCTGGACACGTTCCTGTGTAACCTTATCTAGGTGTTCCTGCTCCGGCAGGGGGATTGGACCAGATGATCTTTTGAGGTCCCTTCCAATCTCTAACATACTGTGATACTGTGATACTTTAAGTCCTGACTTAGTGAGCATGTAGCTATTGGTAAGCAGAATGTTGAGATAATCTCAAGCCAATGTATTGCTGCACTTTCAGAAAGAAGAAAGCTGAAATTAATCAAAAAGGGTTATTAAAAACTATTGAAACCCCATATTTAAAGGCTGTCTCAGTGTATCAGGACCTGAGAAATTCCTGGGTTTTACACAGGGGTTTATTCGTCCAGACCCATCCCTCCCTCCAACATGCTTCTGACGACTGCCTTCTTTTAGAATAAGAAAGTACCTATTAAATTTAAAAATACTTATTGGATATAAGTAATTATTCGGAGGGGGTGGTGAGTTGGGAATGTGTATGTCTGTCTGGTTGGTTGGCTGATTTAGAATAGTTTTGAGTTAGGTTGGTTGGGGTTTTTTTAATGCCCATTTCTAGTTAGGCCAAAGTAAACACAATTATGAAAACAGTTAACAAATCCTGCCATAATCAGACAAATTTCTAGATTGCATAGAAATTCCTGCGTATTGAACAGTGGCCTGATATCCTTCACAGATCCAAGATAAACCAAGATACACACTTCCATTTGAAAGTGCTACCTTCTTACTTCCTTTGGTTTTCACCGTGACTGCTAGAAAAGTTAGAACCCCACTGTGACCTACAAGGCATAGTGAAGCATATTGTGTGCTACAGAGGTCAGTCAAGAAGATGGCACTGACTGAAATGAATTAAAAACCGGCCTTCTACAATGAGCTTATTAAATTTTTTAAATCATTGTTATAATAGCTCAATAAAAAAAAGACTTGGTTACGTTTGGTGTCAATTTAAAACAGTGATTTATCTGTTATGGGTAATATGAGGTGAGTAGAAGCATGATTTTATTGAATAACTGCAGTCACTTATTT